CTGCCACTTACCTCCCAACGACCGATAAGATCACACAGGTTGGGCCTCCTCCAGGTGCCGTCGACCAGGCAATGCCGGCTGGCGGCCCCCCAAGGGAGCGCCTTCTCTGTAGCTGTGCCGGCCTTATGGAATGAGCTACCCACGGAGATCCGGACCCTTACCACTCTCCCGGCCTTCCGTAAAGCGACTAAGACCTGGCTGTTCCGGCAGGCGTGGGGGTGTTGAGTAATAATCCAGCCCCATGTGACTGAATGGTGATTTCATTTTTAAAAAGTGTACTTTTAATTTTTTATGTCTTTGCTTTGTTGTGAGCCGCCCAGAGTCCCTAGTGAGTGGGCGGCATACAAATTTTATTAAAGTTACAAAGTTCTCCCCGGCAGGCCATTCATACCACACATACTGGGACGAGAGGCGTATCTGGGCCCCCATCCACTTCTGCTTCTGCACTCAGTGGAGGGGGCACCAGGCTGCACTCTCAATCCCCCCATACATACCGACCTAACATTCTCCACATGCATACCCCACTAATATTAAAATATACAGAGATACAGTAAAAAATTACGATAAATTAAAAAGCGTGGGATCACTCAACACATACATACCACATACATTCCACACACATTCCACATACAAAATTTGCAAGAGCAGTTCGCGCGATGTTAGGAATTGTGCAAGTAGTTCTTAACGTTTAGGATGGTTAAAGAAAAATATTCTAATCCAAAATAGGAAAAGTCCTTTAGATATGCCATGGCCAGATTTTCCCTACCTGTTGGTAATTCTTAAAAGAAGTTTAAGAAGTTTTGCCCTGGATCCCAGGAAAATAAGGGTTTGCGTTAACGAAGAAATACCACCATGTGACACTCATGTATGGCTTTTTATCACCACCTTGAATATTTTCTTGGGATCTCAAAACTACTGAATGAACTGAGAAGAAGACATGGTTTCTTTGGGGAATCACCACCAAACAGAGTGAATGGCCCAGGCCAGATCTGAAGCACCTTTCCACTTAAAATCGGAAGAGTGCATATCTCTATTCAAAGCATAGTCTAAGGCCGTGATGGCGAACCTATGGCACAGGTGCCACAGGTGGCACATAGAGCTCTCTCTGCAGGCACGCGAGCCATCTCCCCAGCTCAGCTTCACTGTGCATGCGCCTCCTGCCAGCCAGCATGCATGCGTGGGGCGGGAGACACATGTGCATTCATGGGGGGCATGTGGGGGCGCACACATGCGTGGGGCCGGGGTGCACGGGGGGAGTGTCGTCCAAGCATTGTGTTATGGGTGCATGCACGCTTTCGGAACGCAACGATAAAAAGATTAGCCATCACTGGTCTTAAGGTGCTAAGCAGAATGTTTCCATTAATTAGGGTCTGTGACTAACATCTCATATCCACTTCCCTTGAGAAACCTCCACTAGTAAGAATTATAGCCTTACTGCTGAACAGTCATGAATTACAGGATGTGCCAGCTTTAATTTGAGGAATGAACTGATGTATCAGGGGCCATACTCCGAAAAATAGGCATGAACAGGAAAAATGTGTCTTGTGTACTTTATTTATGAATTGTTTTCCCACTCTTCTATCAAGTTAATCATAGCTATTTGGTGAAATGTGTTTTTTTTGGGGGGTGGTGGCTCTTGGACTAGTCCAGAAGTGTTTGCTTTTATTGTTGTTTTAAGAATATGCAAGATGTGCATCTCGGATTGACCAGAGATTACTCTACAATTTTGCTGGAAGTTTTTTGGTTGCATGAGTTACTTAATTATCTTTCCTATTACAATATGATAAGAATCAATGTAAGGATGGTTTAGGGGTATTAAGATATGCTCATACACAAACTTGTTAAAGTCACTGAGTTCAGTACAAGCTTTCTATATTTCTTTCTTTTTGGTATTGGCTTGTACCTCAGATCATGTGCAGAGATGCTGACTTTGATTAGATGATACAATATCATTGAACAAATGATCTTCACCATATAACACTATTGTCTGCAGTTGGGATTCTGGCTCTACTGTATGTATGGCTTATTTCAGTGGGATTTTGCTGGTCTTTTGCTGAAGGGAGGAGATGATACCTCCAATATCTATATTGGATATTATTATTTTTTGCCAACAGCATTGCCAGTGCTGGGCACAACCAACATTTGTGGTCCTTTTGGGGGCAATTAAAGGGCTTTAAAGGATGTAGTGGTTGTATTTAACCTTTGGTTTTGCAGAAAGACAGATCACATTGTGGAATATCAGCATATTTTTTTTGGTCAGATTGGTATAATTGGGATGAAATCGGAGGAAAAGAATGGGTTCTGCGAGACAATATGGAGCCTGCAGGCTATAGCTTGATCTTCTTTGCATCAGAGAAAATTGGAAATAAGAAAAGTCCCACTCTTTCTTCCCTCAGGAATCTCCAATGGATCCACATTCCATCCATGAATGGAAAAGCTCTATTTAGAGAGAACCAAGAACTAAAGTAAATCACTTGTTCAGAGTTTTCAAATTCTTCCTAAAAGTTTAATTTTTTTTGCTTTGGGTTTTATCACCTTCTGTCCAGGGACATAGCAGTGGACACAGTGAAGACTGGAATGAGAGGGAAAGCTGGAAACAAAGGAGCAGTTGCTATCCGTTTCCAATTTCATAGCACCAGCTTATGCTTTGTGTGTAGCCATTTGACAGCTGGTCAGTCTCAGATAAAAGAACGGAATGAAGACTATAAAGAGATCACTCAGAAACTGAGTTTCCCAATGGTAAGGTCTGGGGAAAGTTTCATTTACAGGGCTACTGAATTTGCACATTTTTCAGGATAAAAATACACATTGGGAAACACCTATGTGCATGCGATTTTTATTTTTACTCAAGCTTATCTTTTTACACTCAGCGTGTTCATGTAAAGTGTGTTCCCTGTTACCAATCAGTTTGTTGCCCAGGTCATTTGTTCATCCATCCATCTCGGTTCTTTAAAAATTTAAGTCCTGAACGATTACATTTGAGTAGATCAATTCCTTACCTACCAACCTGAAGCGTAAAACTAATGGAGGCAGTATCAGAGGTTAGGATCTTGGGGGGTGAGAGGGAGACAAGAAAGTCTTCTAGAATGCAGTAGTTTAAGCAGCTATTCTTGCCAGTAGGATTCCATGTGTAATTCAAGGTGCTTGCTATCCCCTTTAAAACACTGAATAATATTTCTCAACCTTGAGAACTTCAAGATGTTTGGACTTCAATTCCCAGAATTCTCTACCCAGCATGAGTTCTGGGAATTTAGGTTCATATAGCTCAAGGTTGTCAAGGTCAAAAAACACTGGTTTAGACATTTGGGGAACTACTTTTTCCCTTTATGCCTACCTGTAAAGATTAAGGATGGCTCATCCCAGACCCCTTCCTCTTAGGACAGGGGTGTCAAACTCGCGCTGTCACATTATGTATTGCAACTTTCCCCCCCCTTCGCTAAATGGAGGTGATCATAGTCAATATGTGACATATCCGGACCACACGCCGTGAATTTGACACCCCTGTCTTAGGGAGTGTCACCTACAGGGACTTTGAAAGAGTGCCTTTTCAGCTGCAGCCTCTTTCTTTGCAGTAGCTTGCCTCCTGACATTAAAATGGCCCCTTCCCTCCTGGTTTCCAGAAGACCCATTAAAATGAGGCTGTACCATTAGACCCCCCCCCCCCCCGAACTGGAATGATATTATTAGGAATGATATTTTAATTTTAATCCATTGATTATGGCATTCCTTTTTTAAAATATTTTTGTCTTTTTACCCATTATTTGTTTTGTTGCTACTCTTGATATTGCTATGTTTAAATTAATATATGTGTTTGTGTATAATTAGCTATTTAATATTAAGATTGGTGTTTCGCTGTTTTATTGTGTTGCTATGTACAAATTTTGCTGCTATTTATGTCTTGCTATAGCTGTTTTTACTATATTGCTATACACTCAAATTTCATCTGAATTTATGAAGATTGGAATTTTGTACCATTCAGAGTCAACTGGAAAGGCTTATAATTCGTGTAAAATTAGAAATCAGTAATAAATCCTTGGAAGGGATTTATGCACTTGGGCCAAGGTTTATAAGGCAACTTCAAAATTTGTTAGCATAGTATTGTAAATACATGCTATGATATATAAAAAATATAGGCTTTGAAATGCAGAGAAAGTGATAGCAAAAGAAATAGAAATATGGCATTAATACATTAACACAGTTGTTTTTTAACATCCCAATTGATCTTTTTTTCAATAAGGCAACAAAGAAGGCTTTCTAGCAGCAACACAATAAATATTTTAATGCTATTTGGTACAGAAGTTAATTTTGAGGCCTCCCTTAAAAGTGTTACATTTATCAATGTTAATAATTCCATCCTCTGGTGTAACATAGCTTTTATTTGTTGATTAACATAAACAAGAATAGGGACATGGTGGCTCAGTGGCTAAGATACTGAGCTTGTCAATCAGAAAGATAGGCAGTTTGGTGGTTTGAATCCCCAGCGCTGTGTAACGGACTGAGCTCCCGTTACTTGTCCCAGCTTCTGCCAACCTAGCAGTTCGAAAACATATAAAAATTCAAGTAAAAAAATACGAACCACCTTTGGTGGGAATGTAACACCGTTCCATGCACCTTTGGTGTTTAATCTTGCCGGCCACATGACCATGGAGATATCTTCGGACAGCACTGGCTCTTCAGCTTCGAAATGGAGATGAGCACCGGTCCCTAGATTTGGGGACGACTAACACATATGTGCAAGGGGAATCTTTATCTTTACCTAACATAAACAAAATAAAATTGTAAAATAGAAGCTGAACTTCTAATATGGAGCAAATTACAGAAAAACTTTGGTTTCCCTACACCTCTCTCCCCACCCCCACCCCAAACATTTTGTAGCCTTCAGGAAGAGGCTTCTTAAGGTGATTGTGGCCAGCTGGGTCACAGAAGAAATTTGATAATGTCATTAAGTCAGGTGGCAATGAAAGAAGGAAGCGATGGCTTCATGGTTATGAAAGGAAGTCTAGCAAGATTCTAATTAGGTATGTTCACATGTTTCTGAAGTCCTTCACTTGTTTTACTGGTGGAAAGAATACAATATTTTTTTATAAATTACAAATTATTTCCATTTCTGCTGAACATGCTTTCACCATGCATCCTTATTAATTCTTAGAACTTACAGAAACAACAAACCATGCTGTAACCTTTAGATCTTTAACAGCTCTTTCTAAAATCTGACCCTTATCCTATGGATACATGTTGCTGCCAAAGAATAGATTGATTTGCTATATTGACAAGTGTGGTAATTCATTAGATTTTCATATCTGCACTGTTTCTTCTTCAAACGTTTCTCTAAAGATCAAAAGGTGTTAATAGCTATTTCTGTTTCCAGGATTGAGAGTATAACTCAGCCAATAGTGCACTAGAAACATTTAATGCCTTAAAAAGATGCTTTCCATTTATGCAGAATAATTCTTATAAATGTCCATATACCGATCATTGCCTAATTAAGCAGTTTATATTTGCAAAAGTACATAGGCAGATTCACCTTTATTATATAGCTTTATTAACAGCACCCTCTTGTGGTGCTTTGATTGAGGAGTCTTATTTGTGGTACCTTTCCAACAATATATGCAGTATCTTTTAGATTATTTAAAAGGGACGCGGTGGCTCAGTGGCTAAAACGCTGAGCTTGTCGATCAGAAAGGTTGGCAATTTGGCAGTTCAAATCCCTAGTGCCACGTAATGAAGTGAGCTCCCGTTACTTGTCCCAGCTTCTGTCAACCTTGCAGTTTGAAAGCATGTAAAAATGCAAGTAGAAAAATAGGGTGGGAAGGTAAAGCGTTCCATGTGCCTTCAGCGTATACTCATGCTGGCCACATGACCATGGAGATGTCTTCGGACAGCACTGGCTCTTCGGCTTTGAAACAGAGATGAGCACCGCCCCTAGAGTCAGTAACGACTAGCACATATGTGCGAGGGGAACCTTTACCTTTAGTTTTTATAGCTCAGGGACTCTTCATCCGACATCCCTTGGGGTCCATAGCTTAAAGCTAGGAGCCTATGAACTTGGATTTTAAAAGAACGTAGTTTTATTTAGTTAACTTCTAACTAAAAAAAATAGCCAGTTCGTATAGTGGTTAAAATAATCAAGCTAGAAATGGAGATCTTGGGTTCTAGTTCTAGTTTCTTAGGCACAAAGCCAGTTGGGTGACCTTGAGCCAATCAGTTTCTTTCAGCCCTGGGAAATAGGTAATGGCAAGTCCCTACTGAAAAAAACCTTACCAAGAACTTCCCCAGGCAGTGAACAGAAGAGAAAACAATTAAGCATTTATATAACTGAGTTGATGAAGAATTTTTAAACGCTGTTGTTTAATGAGTTTTTCCTCGACCAGGGAAGAAGTATGTTTTCTCATGACTATGTTTTCTGGTGTGGTGATTTCAACTATCGCATCGACTTGACTTATGAAGAAGTATTTTATTTTCTCAAACGACAAGACTGGACAACCCTCCTGGAATCGGATCAACTGCAGCAACAGAAATCCAGTGGAAAGGTAGAGACATCACACTTACGATGGTTGCAACATCCTGCAGTTTTTTGATCAAGATTTGCGGCCTCCTCTGCTGGCGTCCCATAAACAAAACCACAAGGGAAGCCAGCAGAGAAGGTCACAAGTAGCTCAGGTAAGTCTCCCCCACCTTCCACCCCCTCCCTCAGGCCCTCTGCACTTGAGCTCTGCCTCACCAGCCACAATCGCTCCCTTCCTAACCTTTCTGCACTCAACTCTGTGCCTCCTCATATCGCCCAGAGAATTGCTGCACCCGCCACTCACAGACCCTCATACATTTCCCTGAACCTCGCTGTGCTTATGCCATGCATCCCTTACCATACATCACCTTTGCACCCTCCCATACCCAGCAGCAGCTACCACAAACCTCAATCCCTCACAACCTGTGCACTCTCCTTGGATTGTGTACTCATTCTACACCTCCCCAGCCACTCACCCACCCCTTCCCCATCCAACAGCAGCCACTCTAAGCCTCACCAATGGCCATTATATTCACGTGTTGGCTCCCTGGCTCCCTAATTGTCATCGCTAAGCAATATGATTGCATCACTTAGCTATGTAAATTCTAGTTCCCATTGCTGTCATTACTTGAGGACTACCTGTAATGAGACAAATGAAAAATGCTGTATTATGGAAACTTAAATTTGATCAATATCCTGCTGCTGTTTTTCACCAGTTTCTTTTCCTAGTTGTTAAAAATGAAATTATTTCAGAGAATCTTTAAAGTTTGAAATGATGCCTCTAATTCATTAGTTCATACATATTATTGAAGTTGTGTGGTTTTTATTTGTACTTGCAGAGTTAATTGTAGCATTCATGTTTTATTGTGCTGTTCTTTTTATGATTGTGCTGTAAACCATTGAAAGCCTTCCCAGTGGATGCAGAATGAGATGAGATGAGATAAGATGACATGCATGGCTATCTCTATAAAATTTTAAATATTTTCTTTTATAGATTTTTAAGGACTTCCATGAAGGAACTATCAATTTTGGTCCCACATATAAATATGATGTTAGCTCTGAGGCTTATGATACAAGTGATAAATGTAGAACTCCAGCGTGGACTGATAGAGTGCTTTGGTGGAGGAAGAAACTTCCAATTGATAAAACAGGTTGGTGGGGTCCTTTTTACTCTTTCCTAGCTTACATTAGTGTTTCTCAATCTTGGCACCTTTTAAGATATTTTAACTTCAACCCTCAGAATTCCCCAGCCAGTATACTGATTAGGGAATTCTGGGAGTTGAAACCTTCACATCTTAAACTAATCAAGGTTCAGAAACAGTGGCTTTGGTTGTTTTATGATGTTTGACATAAAAATCAGTGCTCAATTCTGAAACTCCATGCATAGTTTTGCAAAGGACACTTTTTGTTAATGGAATATAGTTCACACCACTGAGAAAACATTCCTTGGGAAGCGGGCATGATGCTGATCTAAGAAATAATTCAGTGGTTCTCTCACATTACTTAAAAGATTTATTTGTGTGCAGAAAGTTTGATTCAGTAAGAATTTTACACATTAACTTAAATACTAGGGATAATCTTATCAAACCAACAGTTGATTTTTAATTATATTTCATACTCAATTAGATTAAGCATTTTCTGCCCTTGATAATCCCAGGAGGCCTTTTTTTTTTGCACTCGACATTTTGGAAATGTGTTCTCTCTCTCTCCCTCTCCCTCCCTTCCCCCCTCTCTGTCAATATTGCAACACAGCAGCAGCCATGAGATGACCATGCTTGTCCAGCTGAAAGGTGACCATGTTGCATATATATATATATGTGTGTGTGTGTGTGTGTGTGTGTGTGTGTGTGCGTGCATGCGTGCATGCATGCATACATATGCAATGTAAACTATGAACGTACAGGGATTGGTATTATTTATCATTATTGTATTGCAGTCTACTTGTCCTGTTGCAAGATTCCTGTTGCAAGACTTATTATATCAATGATTTACACCAGTGATGTAAACCACCTTTTCAGCACCGAGTGCTGAAACTGGAGCGCATGTGTGAGTACTGGTACTGGAACCCAGAAGTGAGTAGTTGGCTGGTACTCAGCTGCTCTCTTCCGGGTTCCGGTGTCCGCATGCACAGCGGACAGATGGTCTTCATGCAAAGAGCAGCTGGCCGCCGCACCATGCCCACAGAGAGGGCTCTGCATGCCACCTCTGGCACACATGCCATAGGTTTGACATCACAGATTTACATCCTTCCTATCTATTTGGTGCCATACAACCAATTTCATTGTATTTAAGTACAATGACAATAAAGATTATATGAATGAGGAGCTATCATGCAGGCAACATAGCTAGTCAAAATAATGCTGAGTTTGTTTAGCTTCAATTTAGTAAGTGGGTTCATGAATCTCGCTTAATTTTTTATAAACCCTGATTAATGGCTTAAGTAAAAAAAGAAACAACCTCAGTTTTGTGGCTGTTATATGTGAATCAGGCACATGGTTCTGGAGCAATGCCTTAATTCTAAATCTATTGTTTTGTTTTTTCACAGCGGGACAAGTCAGTCTTCTTGACAGCGATCTCAATGCTGGAACCAAAGTTGGACCCATTTGGTCTCCTGGTGCTTTGATGTATTATGGAAGAGCTGAGCTCCAGGCCAGTGACCACAGGTAGCATCTTCGGGGGTGTGTGTGTGTGTCTTGGAGCACATCTTTTGCCCTTATAAAACCCAGATAGCTCCATTTAAAGTGATCTCTTTTTATGACTCCAAAAAATCACCACCAGGGAGCAGAATAAATAGAACTGAGCTAGTTGAACCAAAGACCTGATTCGTTATAAAGCAACTCTAAATTATCACAAATATTGACCATTGTTGAGTGAAGAAGCTTCTTGGATGAGAAGCAAAACATCTTCAAAGAAAAACCAGGAAGTCCAGTTGCCTTTTGAAAAAAACATGTTTGGGACAGCCATGACCTGGATGACTGAGAATCTCCATAGACATTGCCATGCTTTGCAACTTTAGAAGGAATTCCAGGGGGAGATTTTCATGTTATCCCTTGCACAGAACCATTTCCCCAGGTTCTCAGGAACATCAAGCCTTTTATAGATCTTACGGAGAACGAAGTTCCAACATTTCCATCTGCTTTGTGGACTATAGAGAATATATAGAACATTCTTATAGCAGTCAAAATTCATTTCTTGTTTCTTACAGAAGCAGTTTTGGAGCAGAAGTGGTAGAGTTGTCACTTAGCTTTGTCATACTCAACTAGAACTGCTGAAAGATTTAGTTAGCAATAGCTGGAGAGCCCAACCCTAACCTACTAACTCTCATTCTTCATTCTTGTATATGTATTTTAGTTGTATACAAAGTTGGACACACATATATATATGTGCAGAAGCATCTGCATATATATAGACCAGAGGTGAGTTGCTGCCGGTTCAACCGAACCGATAGTGTAGGCAGCGGGGGGCTCCACCCACCCTCCCAGATGCTTCTGCACAGAAGCGTTGCACGTGAACATGTGTGCAAGCACAAGCAAACCGGTAATAAACCGGTTAGCAACCCACCACTGATATAGACACAATCTGAGAACTGGGGAAAAAAATAATGTTGTGGCAGAGTTCCTTTGCCAAATTAAATAACAGAGTAATTGTTAGGATTGTTTTATTGTGTCTCTGGACTCCTGGGAATTGTGTGGAGTCAACTTGGGCAGATAAATGAGCAGATGTAATCAATAAATAATTTCAAGCTTCCCTGTGACTACTTATTCATTGTCTTTTTCTCTGTTAGGTAATTATTTATAGGATCAGCTGTCAACTTTTCATTATTTAACAAAGATGTAATACTCTATATAAGTTATGCTGAAAAATAGTTTGAGAAGCCAAGTAATCTAACAGTAATATTAAGCAGATCTAAGTGGTTTCAAATAGTTGTGTTTGACAACTGATTTTCAATAACCTGTCAGCATTTTTATCTTCTGACCTCTTATCTGCCTTCTGTCATCCTATTAACTGTTTTCTTCCCTTGTTATCTCTCTGTAGGCCTGTTTTAGCTATTGTGGAAGTGGAAATCCAAGAGGTTGATGTGTCTGCTAGGGATAATGTTTTCCAGGAAGTATCATCCTTTCAGGGTCCCCTAGATGCTACAGTGGTGGTGTCTCTATTGTACTGTTCCCCTGAAGAGAAAGATGAATTTCCTGAGGATTGTCAGATGGAGCTTATGCAGATCTTTGAGACTTACGGCACTGTTGTGCTTGTCAGGTAAAATATGCTGTTCATTTTAGAAAATAATCTTTGGATCTTAATTTTGAAGGGAACTTTCCCTCATGGAAAGAGACTCTTGGTATATATGGAATTGTTCCATTAATATAATTCCAGAAGAAGAGTGGGTTATAAATCTAACAAGCAAATAATAATTATTCAAATAGAATTTCCTTTAAATTGTGGAGTAAAAAGTTAGGGATCCATGTCAGTAAAATATAATGATGTTAGAGAACGTTGATGGCTTAAAACTTGTTAATGTAATAATAGTTCAATAATAATTAATTAATGTTCAGTTATTAATCCACCATTTTTAAGAAGAAACAGCTCAGCTTTCCTATCTATTTATTTAATGGCTAATTAGAAATTAGTTCTGTCAAGATATATAGAGTTTATTTGAACTGTTTCTATCCTTGTTAGGATCAATGGAGGTCAAATGTTGGTTACATTTTCAGAAAGCAGATCTGCTCTTCGCGTTCTTGATGTGGATGGCATCAAGGTAAAACAAAACAATTAAAGTTGCTTGTAGTATTTGAAATACTTGAGTGACCAAGTAAATCCCCTCAGGATGGCTATTTTGTTAAGAGAAAGCCAGCCAATTTTGTTTGCCTTGCTGGTGGCAAATATAGACATCTTTCTCATATAAAATTGACATTTCCTTGAATACCAGCTTGTAGTTTCAGGTTCACCAGCTTTTTAAAATGTTAGCTGTTAAAATGGTTTCCAAAGAATTGATCTGATAATGTCAAGCTGTTAGACCAGAAAACACCTTTAACCAAGAAGATTCCTTTGAAACTTTAATGAATAAATTCATTTATAATGTAATGAGCTTTTATATGGAGGTCATGACATAGTTTGTTATTTTTAATATACCATCTTTTGCTGTTACTCTTCAAAAATCCATTTTTTTTATTTAGGGATTTGATAAAAACATCTGGAAGCTAATTTTTTAAACTAGATAATAGGTAACCGGCATACTCTCCATATTATACTGGAAAAGTTAGAGAAATTAGTTGCTTTTTAAGGAGGATTTCAGCAAATACAAATTGAGAAATAATTATTTTCTAATTGACCACTAGAGAGGATTTGGCAATCGCTGTCTGTTTATAAGTGGTTTCTCATCCTGACACATAAGGAAACTTGATGTCCTTCTTCCATTATGAGTAATAATGATACAAGTAGAGAAATTGAACACACATACACACACACACACACACACACAAAAATCCAGGATATTTAGCTTAATGACTTCCAGTTTTTTTATTCTTTAACGATTGACATAAGAAGAAATGGCACTCTGTTAAAACCAATTATTGATACATAATTCACAACAATACATACCTGAAAAAACCAAATATATCTAATCTGCAATAGTAGCCATGCTCTTTAAATATATACTGAAGTCTTTTGTCTTCAATTCAATGAACAGACTACAGGTAGTCCTTGACTTGCAACAGTTCATTTAATGATCATTCAAAGTTACAATGGCACTGAAAAAAGTGACTTAATGACTGTTTTTCAAATTTAGGACTGTTGTGTCATCCCCAGAGCCACATGATCAAAATTCAGGCGCTTGGCAACTGACTCACATTTATAACGATTGCTGTGTCCCAGGGTCACGTGATCGCCTTTTTCAATCTTTTTACAAGCAAAATCAATGGGGAAGCCAGATTCACTTAATAACCATGTTACTAATGTAACAACTTCAGTGATTCACTTAACAACTGTAACAAGGTCTTAAAATGGGGCAAAATGCACTTAGCTAATATTACACTCAGCAACCAAAATGTTGGGCTCAATTTTGTTTGTAAATTGGGGACTTACCTGCGTTGCTTTGCATCGTGTTAATATCTGGGTCTTGTTTATGATTACAGGAAAAAATAATGTATTGGGGGTTTTATGTCTAGATTAAAGGCAGGATTATGAGGATTTGTCCTAAAACCAAAGATTGGCTGAAAGGTCTTCAAGAGGAAATTGCTAGGAAACGCGACAGTATCGCTCCTATGTCACCCACAGCAAATTCCTGTCTTCTGGAGGAAAATTTCGATTTTTCAAGCTTAGATTATGAATCAGAAGGTAAGTGGCCTAAGATGTGGGCGAACATATAAGGTTTGGTCAGGAGGGCTTTCCCCCCATGGAGCCTGACTGAGATGGGTTGCTATTCTCTTTGCAGAATGATATAACTTGTAAAAAAAACAAAACAAAAAAAACCCAACAATCCCCTTTGTTTTAGCTGAAACGTTGGAAGAAAACAACATTTCTTCAACTTCCTAATTCTGCTATAACATTTTTCAATTTAGGTGATATCTTAGATGAGGAAGATGATTATTTGGATGAAACGTTGCATCTGGTACCATGTGAAACAGAAATGGTATCAACAATGGAAGAGTCAGGAGATGGATCAGAATATGTGAGCATGGTGTCTACCATACATGCAAACAAGTCACATCTTGCTGGAAGAAAACCATGTCGGTATAAAGGTATCCGTCCTTTCGTGATGAAAGACAAATGAAGCCCTAGCCAGACAGGAAAAATTGGCTGGGTCGTCCAAATAAGGCTTTTTTTATTGGAATAAGTCAACCCAATTAAGTTGACAAAATTATCTCTACGTTAAAAGCTATTCAGATAATTAATGATATAATTGGTTTTTCTGTTAATGACTAAGACTTTCTGGGACAGAGTGATGTTGCCCTGGAGATATATCATAATTTAATTTGAGCTCTTCTTAAGGATTAATAAGCAAACTTGATTGAAATGCCAATGATGGTAATTTTTTTCTTGTCGCATGCCGAAAGCGCACAACGACATAAGGCAATGTGTGTGTGACACCCCCAGTGTCCCACCCTCCAGCGCATGCATGCACTCCCCCGTCCCCCTGCACATGTGCACGTTACTCCCGCCCCCGGTGCCCCGGTTTTGGCCTAGTAGGCCTCCCTGCAGCCTCCTGGGACCAAAAATGGCCCGCAGGGGGATGCCGCATCCTCCCATGCTCCCCTGCCCATGCACGTGTGACCCTCCCCACACAGGTGTGCATGTCTCCTGCATGCGTCGCACATACACGGCAAAGACCCGAAAATCTGTTGGCCAGTGGGAGGTGCGTGCGCATGCACGGTGGAGCTGAGCTGGGCAGGGGGACTCATTTGCCTCCAAAGAGGGCTCTGCATGGCCACCTGTGGCACACGTGCCATAGGTTCCCCATCACGGCTGTATGCCATCCATACCTATTGCCTTTACTCCTTTGGGGGCATTATATATGCTCATATCAGTTTTGGAAATCTTTGAATGACCCAATTTTTTCATTATTATACTTTCTGAGTCAGCATTGTAACTCAAAGTTTGTGCCATAATTCATGGAGGATTAACACTTGATTTTTGACTGACTTTCTTTATGACTAATTGTTTCACCTCTAGGAATAACAGGAGGCAATGACTGGCTCAGTCTATTAATTCTGATACATTACTATTTGATAGATGTCAATGATTGAATATGGCTCATAGAACCCTTGGTAATGTTCCCCATGTAGCAAGCACATGTTGGGTGTTGCATGGTTATTTCTCAGTTTGTTTCCTTCCTGGATAATTTCAAGGGCATCAATTTTTATCAGTTGCATTTTGCTTTCTAACTTTATATTCTTTGGTCATGTTCACTAGATGATGCTGACTTGGTTGAATTAAAACATGAGTTTGAAGAAAGTGCAGAGTTCTGTCATCGCTCCCCAACCAGGTCTCTGTCCGTGCCTGGTAGGCCTCGGCAGCCTCCGCCCCCCCAGCGACCTCCCCCACCAGGTCAGAGTTTGTGTTCTTTCTCCAAGAGTTTCTACTTAGTGGGAAAAAATGTTATGATTTTGAAATGACAGTCCTGAATACACAAAGAAAGTGAGGTTGAAAGTGTTGTGGCCCGTCAGTGGCCAGTGGAGCTGGCAGCAGATTCGGACAGTGAGGAGGTTGGGGAGGAACATGGGCCAGTCCTGGAGTCTGGGAAAGGCTCTCATGAGGGCTCTGTGTTGGAGGCAGAGAAGGGGCCAGAGCCATATGCCAGTTATCAGCTGCCTTCAGAGTCAGACCTCAGGGAGGCAGATGAACAGCTGGAGCCTGTTTTCTCAGTGTGCATGCATAGAGTTGCCAGACGAAGGGAACAGCTAAAGAACAGGGATCGACTTGGGAGTAAGGTCACAGGTGAACAATGAATGCCCCTCCTAGAGGAAATAAAAACATCCTACAATGGGATGCAATTTAGTTAATAAGTGCCTTGTTTAGCAATGGAAATTTTGGGCTCAGTTGTGGTTGAGTCAAGGACTACCTGTTATGTAGTTCAAGCGGATGCAACAGCCAGCTGAAAGTCAGATAAAAACAGATACAGATATCACCAGACCAATTTCCATTTCATGCCTTGCCACTTAAGCACAATTTGGTGAAATGGTTCTCCAGAATGTTTCTTTGTATGGGGCACAATTCAGCTTTTCTTGGCAAAAAAGATTTAGAGGAAACTAGATGCAGAAATAATCTTGTGTACAGTATTTGCTGTTCTGACTGAGGCTTCCTGAGAGCATGAAGCAAACTTCTTGTCCCGACAAAAATCCCTTTTATTAATTTACTGTGAATTCTGCTCATTCATATCCGGCAAAGTCTTTCAAGGGAGGATTTACAGTCACAGACCTTTTCTGGCTTGGAGAGCTGACAGGCAAATATCTGCAAAACTTGGCAAGGAGTCTCGGGAGTCACGAACCAATTAAGCGAACTAATTATCTCCTGCAAACTCTACTCTCCTTTCGCTCCTCTTTTGGCACAACTGTTAAGAGAATCATTTCAGTTGTTAAAAGTGAATTGTGCAGTTGTTAAGCGAATCTGGTTTTCTCCCAATGACTTTGCTTGCTGGGGTACATTACAAGGGGTGATCATGTGACCCTGTCCAAATTTTGATCAAATGACCATGGGAATGGTACAATGATCGTAAGTATGAAAAACAGCCATATGTCACTTTTTTCAGTATCATTGTAACTTCAAATGATCACTAAACAAATGGTTGTAAGTCAAGGACTACCTGGATACTAGCCATATATGCACATTAACAAGGTGGATTGCTGAAGGTAACCCCATTTTATATCAGTGAGAAACAGCTAGAGATGTGTATTTTCCTTTCTGTATAATTTCTGTTAAGTTAGGGCTAACACAAGCAGAGGAATTTGCTGAACTTCTCAACAACAAAAAATATGTAAGTTGGTTTTCCCTTAGTGACATCACTCAGAGGTAGATATCCCAGTCCAAATTCTTTCCCCCCCTCCCTCTCAGTTGGCCCTTCTTATAGAAGCAAATTGAACATTTCCTTAACCAATTATGATAGGAGTTTAGCCATGTCCCTCGAGCACTGTCTCCAGTTTTCTCACAAGTTTTTAGAATTTTTAAAATCAAAAACTTGGCCAAACTGTCAAGTACACCCCCTCACATTTTGTAAATATTTAAGTATATCTTTCCATGTGACAACTGAAGAAATGACACTTGGCTACAATGTAAAGTAGTGAGTATACAGCTTGTATAACAGTGTAAATGTGCTGTCCCCTCAAAATAACGCAACACACAGCCATTAATGTCTAAACTGCTGGTGAGATAGATAGGTAGGTAGGTAGGTAGGTAGGTAGATAGATAGAGATAGATATATAGATATATAGATATATAGATATATAGATATATAGATATATAGATATATAG